GGGGGATGGCCCTGCAGAGGAGGGCAGGGGCCAGGGAAAGCACGGAGGAGCCCAGCCCAGAAACGAGTTGTGAGATCAAAGGCAATTTCTGCTTCAAGACCCCTCGGCAGAGTCTGCTGGGTGATAGGCTTGTGGGGGGACCGTCCCAGCGCCCAGGGGCCTGGCTGGGCGGTGGTGGGACTCGTGAGGTGCAGGCGTCTGAGAAACCAGGGGCGGCAGGCGGGGCTGAGCTCCATTTTACACATATGTTCACCTGTATGCGTCCTGCGCACATTTGAAAATAAAGTCGAACGCTACCTATTAACCTGTACAAGGACAAGACTCCAACACGCCGCACAGCTGTCTCCTGAATTTACATGGGCTCAGCAATGAGCTGAATTCTCCCACCGCGAGTGTCCCCGTTGGCAACGTCTCCTCTATTTCCAAGGGTCTTTGATTTGTGGATTTTTACCAAGTGCTCTTCCGAATCCCACGTTCCTCGCTGCTCCAGCTCTTCCGGGTCTGGAGGCCTCTGCGCCCCTCATCCACCATCTGTCCCGCATTCCACGCCCCCTGCTTCGGCACGGCCCACCCGGCCGGCACTCCTGCCCTTCCCGTTCCCACCACCACCCACCTTCCACCAGCCTGGCTGCCGCTTCACCTCCGCCTCCGAGTCTTTGGCGTTTCTGGGGGAAAGACCGTGCTGCGGGCTCTTCTGGGCGTGGTTTGTATGCTCTGTACCCATGTTAATTTTTCTGCTTGATCAAGAATTTACCCAACTTTTTAGTGAAGTGTGTGCACTAAAATCTATTATGTCAAGTTTTTCTAGAATTCTGGCCATTACCATTTCTCCTATGTTTTGGCCCATTGGTTCTGTTCACCCTCCATCTCTCAGGAGCCCTCCAAGCTCTGGTCTCCAGGTCTGAGGAAAGTTTTCCCAAATTTTGTAACTTCCTGGCCATTGCAGTGGGCGTGGGACCAGGACTGAGACTCGCCCAAGCCTCCGGCCATCCCAGGCCCTTTTGACAAACAGCCGACCCAGGCGGAAGTGTTCGCCCTGGGGCTGCCCGGCCCTCCCCGTGGCGTGAGCCAGAGCTGGGCCTGCAGGCAACTTTCACGTTCACGGGCTGCGTTTCTCTCCGTTTCACATAAGCCAACGTGTTTGTCAAGAGAAAGTTAATTAAAGACATATTTTTCTAATTAAATGGTAGGCTGTGCTGTGCAAACAGTAAGATTCTTGTTTGAGAGCAAATCCCTCCCGTTTCTAGGGCTACCCTGGGGATTCACTATATCAACGTTGGAGAAGGAGCCCAGGGGGTGAGCGCAGCCGGCCTCACCCACCCCCGGTGACCTTGAGGCAGAGCCAGGTCCCAGCCTCGCCAGCTCCGGGCTCAGAGTGTCCTCTTGGCACCCGACTTGCCACGTCCGACCCCACCGGCTCTCATGTGCCCCAGTGCCAGCCTGTCCCATACCCTACCTCCCTGAGAACACTCCCCAGGCCTGAGCTGAGCTCAGTCCAGGTTCTAGAAGCAAAGCCAGGGAGCCCCCGGCCCCCCCAGGCACATGTCCGGGGCTGGGGCCGTGAAACTGATTCCTAATGTTTGGTCAAGAATGTCGGCATCTGTGTCTCCTTAGGGTGTTGCCTTTATCAGCATTTTTTGTGTGTTAAGGTTATTTTATCTTAAGTGAATTGGTGAGCTTTCCATCTTTTCCCATCCCCTGGAATAATTCGATAGCCTAAGAGTCAAGCTTTTTTAAAGGTTAGATTGCATTTACCTGCCAACCCGCCCTCCTGTCACCTTAAATTCACTTTAACTTCATCTCCATCTCTTTCCTGTCATGGGTCGTTTTCAGTTCTCTGCCTCTTCTTGGGTCTGTTTTTGTCACTTGGCTGTCACCCACCACATATATATGTGTGTATGTATATGTATATATATTAGGGTTTTTAAAAAATATTTTTATTGGTTTTTTTAGAGAGGAAGGGAGAGGCAGAGAGAGAGAGAAACATCCATGATGAGAGCCATTGATCAGCCGCCTCCTGCACGGCCCCTGCTGGGGATGGAGCCGGAAACCCTGGTGGGGAAGCAAACCGGGACCCCCTGGTCCGCAGGTCGACGCTCAGCCCCTGAGCCACGCCGGCCGGGCTCCCCGTATGCTGTCGAGTGCACACGTGTTTACCTCGTCGTGGTTACGAGTGTGGTGGTATCTGCAGTTAGATCCGCGTCTGTCCCGGGTGTTGGAGACTGTCGGTCTGTCCTTGTGCCACTTGCCAGCAGTTCATCTCCTTCACTGGCCTTTCCAAAGAGTCAGCTTTCATCTGCCCTCTAGCTTCTGTCCGGCTTATTTATTCCAGCTTTCATCTTCGTTAGCATCCGTTTCGGTGGTTGGCGCTTTCCCGATTTCCGGTATGGAGCCCGTGTGTTTACGTTTGGACTTTCTCGCTCACTAGGAACAGTATTTGCTGTCAGCTGTGTTTTCCCTAGTTGTGGTTTGCTGGGTGATGCTTGGCTTTTTCGTATGAATTCTTTTCCTTTTTTCCCATTTTCTAGGACTTTCCGTTTTTATTTCTTCTTTAATTCAAAGGTTTTTCAAAAGGATAATTGGATGTTTGTGCCTCTTTTTGCTGCGACGTCCAGTCTCCCTGGCGAGAGGGTATGGTTGGGCAGAGGTGGGGGCCTTTGATCAGCTTCTGGGTGGATCTGGGTTGATGCTCCTGGCTGGCGGCTGGTTGCTGGTTGCTCTTTGCTTTCTTGCGTTGCTTTTGTCTATTTGTTTGTGGTAGGTTTGGAGGAAAACTGGACAAACTGATTGCGAAGTTTACAGGGAAGAGTAGACGATTACAATGGATTTAACGCAGCAGGAGGGGTGGCGCAGGCTGGACAGCGAGGCCTGAGGCACGCGCGGAGTCCAGAGGTGTCCAGCTGTCACTAATTGGCACCAGACCCTGGGCTCCTATCTGGGCCACCAAGTCCCACTGTGCAAAGTAAGGGACTTCAAGCCCCTTATATCTGAGCAATTCTGGGGCTTATTGTGTCCTGGGACTGGCCGGAAGGCGGAACCAGCGGCCAATGAATGGGTCTTGACACCCAGTGGCTGAAAAGGTGTCAGGCCGAGGACCTGAGCTCCAAGGCCCCGAGGACGGGCGTGGAAGGCGTGGCATGCTCTGCTCCTCACAGAGCTACAGGCAGGCTGTGTAACGAGCCCCCCACCCACTGTGTGTGCCCGAGGCATTTTCCACCCTTCCTTCTACAAGACCCCCGCTTCTCAGCAGGCCTCAGAGGGCGAGGCCTCTTACACCCCCACCCATCCTCCTGGTCCCAACAAGAAGCCCGTGAGATGGCGTCACCCCATGCCACAGATGGGGAAACAGGCTGGGGCATGGTCCACATGGAGCCTGCCCCAAGCCCGGCTCTGCCCTGCCTGGCCCCCAGGTTGGAGCCACAGGCTGGACAGTCACGCTCTCCGGTGGCTATCGGGACTTCAAAGTGAGCTGGGTGTGGGGCCTGCTCGGCCAGCCCCGTCTCACACAGGATCGGGACTCAGAACCGGGGTGACACAGGAAATGGGTTGCTCAGCGGGGTGCAGGGTGGTGCCACAAATGTGCCCTGTTCAATGTCATGGCAAATTTGAGTTCCGTGGACATGTAGCCCTTACAAGAGGAGCCAGAGGCTTCATGTAAGTGGTCTGGGCCTCTTCCAATACTGTGAAATATTTAGGCCACGTTTGAAGGAAACCTCAGCTTTTCTACTGGAAAATGTGTACACACAGAAAATTATAATTTTCAAAATTGCAAGGGAGGGTGAAACGTCACAATTTTAGGGACAAGCATGGCCCTCCCTCCTTTCCTTTTCAAAGTACTAGCGTTGGCCCTGTACTAGTGTACGGGGCCACCCTACCTGCTCTGGTCACTCCTGCCTCCCCTGAGTAGCCCTCCTGTGCCAGTGGCCAGCATCCACTCCAACATATAGCGAGAATGAAGTGAGAGGATGGGCCAGTGGCCCCTCAGACAGTAGCTGGGGCCTGACTGCTGTGGTCACTGTGGAGGAGGCAGGGGAGGGACTCCAGATGTGTCTTCCAGGCCACTCTGGCCGCAGCACAGAACCTGCCAAGCAGAGCCTCCTTCCCAGGACCCTGTGGCTGTCACAGGCGGCCCGACTGTGCACAGTGTACCTGGGCTGTCCTCGCCTTCTCACAACCAGCGGCCTGCAGCAGTCTGGGCAGACGCCCTGTGTCTCCCTCCCCAGGAGCAACTAGACGCGCTGCACCAGGCCCTGGACGAGAGCAGAAGGCACAGCCAGGGCCTGGCCCAGAGGAGTCGGCTGCTGGAGGAGCAGGTCGCAAGCCTGGAGCGCAGGTGCCAGGAGGCTGAGCATGCACAGAGGCCCCTGCAGCAGGTGAGGCCCCCAGAGGGCAGGGCCCTGCATCCCTCACAGAATCAGCCCCTGGGCGTGAACGGAGGTCCAGGTGTTCAGGCACCACCCAATGCCCAGCTGACAGGAATCTGAGGGGGAGGGTACATGCAGGGATTCCCTGCTCCAGGACTACCCGAGAGCCTGGCCCTAGTGGCCTGGCCCCATCCAGGTGCCCCGGAGGTGGCAGCTCAGGGAGCAGGGATTGGGGTGTGGAGGGGTGCAGTGCTTGGAGAGGCATGTCCTGCACCCGGCCTCCTTGCACCCCAATGGGGCCCGCCTACAAGGGGAGCTCATGGCCTTGCGTGCACACTGGGTGCTGGTGTGGGCTCTGACAGGTGGTCCCGAGAGAGGGGTTCAGGGGTTGCTTGCTAGGGATGTGTCCTGCTGCCCTGGAGGCCTGGCAGATCGGGGTGGAGAGCCTCTGTGAGCACACCTGGGCCTCATTTGGGCAGAAGGTCTTACCTGTCCCCCAGCACAGGGACCTGGAGGTTTGCTGACACAGACAGAGGCAGGGCTCAGGGACACACACCTGCCACCTGGGCACAGACATGCACACAGCTGTCACCCCACCCTCCCTTGCAGCACTGGCCCCAGGCAGGGCTTCAGGAGAGGCAGCCAACCTGGACTCACCCGTGCAAAGGGACTTAGGTGTCTGTCACTCATGGCTGTTCTAGGCATGGCCGCTCAGAGGGGCTGGGGGAGGCTGTGTTATGTGACAGGCTTTGCAGGGGCCACCGCAGGTCCAGTGGATCCCTGGGCTTATCACTGTGTCACCTGGCTTCCTGCGGGAGCAGGCCTGTCTGGTCTGGGCAGAGTGGCCCAAGGGCAGAAGGACCAGGGGACCACAGAGGCCAGGATCAGCCTCATTGACTGGTGGGGTGAGTGGCAAGGAGACACATGCCAGGGGCTCTCAGACTCAGGGGCTCCTCAGAAGGAGAGAGATGCCCCGGAGGGGTGTGGGGTGTGGGGTGGGGTGTGTGGACACCAGTGAGAAGAGAGGAGGAACGGCCAGGGCCAGGGACCAGGGAGGCTGCCACCACCCCAGGTGGGAGGGGGGCTGTTTAGTTGTATCAGGATCAGAGGCAGAACCAGGCGCAGCCGGGATCCCCACGGTGGTGAGGGAGGAGTGTGACGGCTCTGTGTGCACTGACCACACGCCCCGAAAGGAGCAGTGGGGCCCTGGGCAAGGGGACTGCCGGTCCTGGAGCCTCCAGGAGAGTGTCTGTCCCATGTCCCAGGCAGGCCCTGGCCACCGGGCACACACTGTCCAGCTGAGGTGGACTCAGGGACAGGAGGGTTTTCCAGAGGAGATTGGCCAGGTCCAAGGGGTGACAGTAGGGGGAAGGGACCTTGGGGACAGGATTGGGGTCTGGATGGGGCACAGAGACCAGCGGGCCAGGACAGGCATTGATGGCCACTGGCACCTTGCCCATGCCGGGCCACCTGCCCTCCTAGGAAGGCGGGTCAGCTGGCTGGGTACAATCCCCAGGATTCTGTCGCTTCTCCTGAAGGGTGGGCCTAGGGCAGAGCCACTGAACTGGGGGAGCTGAGGCCCCCTGGCCACTCTTGGCTCCTGGGGGCTGAGCCTTAGCCGGATGGCACTGCCCGTGGGGGAGGAAGGAGCAGCTAAGGAGTTCCAGGAGGGCAGCCGTGAGGGCCGCAGGCCCATAAACCCTTTACTGGTGACTCAGGAGGGGAAGCCCAGCCGGCCATGTGTTTGTTTTGGACCTGGCGTCTCTGTTTCCCAGGCGCTGCCAGGGCTGTCACTGGGTTTTAAAGAAACAGGACTTCCTTTCGCGAGGGGAGGGTGAGGGGGGGACTCTATGCTTCTCGGTCCTGAGAAGGGAAGAATCCTGCTTTCGTAAGGCGCTGACCCCTGACCCCATAGCCGCACCCTCAGGCTGCTCCCCCACGCGCAGGGCCCTGAGAGCCCATACCCCGAGGGAACACCGCCGGGGCTGAGCAGGACCCGCAGGGCCGGGCGCAGCAGGCAGTGGGCAGGCCTGGTGTGAGGAGAGGGCTGCCCGGCTGCTGACGTGCCAGTGCCTACAGGGCTTCGAGGTGGGAGACCATCCCCAGCAGCACCCACAGGCATGTCTGGGGGTCAGTTCCTTCCTCCAAGGGGATCGTCCACAGGGGCAAACGGAGCCCCACCAACCTTCCCACCAACACTCTTTGTCTCCTGGTCACAGGGTGTTTAACCCCCAGCTCATTGCTCCTGCCCTGTGCCCCGCATGGGAGGGTGGGGTGGCGACCAAGAAGGGGGCTCTGGTCAGGCCAGCAGAGGGCAACTGAGGGATGGAGGAAGGAATAGTGGCCCCAAGGGCAGGTGGGCAGCAGCGAGGTGCCCAAGTTCTCACCCCAGGTCGAGGCAGCAGGGTGGGTGTCCGGGATGGGAGGTGGGACTGTGGGTTCCTGTGTGTCTGCCAACGTGTCCGTCCCGTGCATAGGGGAGCCAGGGACTGTGGCCTCCCAGCCCTTCCTGTTACAGAGCTCGGGGGCCCTGGCCTGCGGCCAGCCCGCCATCTGAGTCCTGCCCCATCCCCAGGTGGCCAGGAAGGAGCATCGGGACTAGGAAGCACAATGGCAGCGACAGGCCCACCTTGCCAGGCCTTCCCTGCCAAGAAGTGAGCCCTGACGCCAACACCCCCGGAGGGCTGACCAGCCAGGGGAAGAATCACAACTGTGAAAACCGATGCTCGGGCGGCTCCGGGGACACACTCGGCAGGGCGGGCCTGGTGCCGGCAGGGGGCTCAGGGTGCAGGCAGCCCGAGCCCACACTCACCCCCAGAAGTCCCACGTCAGCAGGCAGCCTCTGGTTCCCAGGCCACGGAGCTCCCCACACTGTGTGACAAGGCCCCTGCTGGCGCCGGCTACACAGGGCCTCCTCCGGCCACACCGGGCCTGGCACTGGGTCTGCGCCTGGACGTACGATCAGGACAGACCCCAATGGCCAGGCTCTGCCAGGCCAACTTCCTCGACTCTGGAAACACAGGGAAACATGGGGGAAACATTTCCATCAAATGGAGCCAAAAACAGAACATCCAGGGAGGCCAGCCCCGGCCTCCCAGGCCCAGAGGCTGCGGAACCTTCCGCATCCAGGAGCTGCAGGTCTGTCTCGGTGGCAGGTGACTGGAAATGGCTCAGTCATGCCCACGACTCACAGGTCGGGGAGGCTGGGGGCTTAGAAGCCGGACTTGCCGAACCTCCTGCTGTCCCATCCCGTGAACCCGGGGGACCCTGGGAATCCAGCCCTGTTGCTATGGAGACGAGGCAGTCATCTTCACCTGTGGGCATTACTACTCATTTTCCCCATCAGCGCAGGTCAGAGTGATTTGCTTTCCTCTCCAAATTGCCTCTTTTGTTCTGTACCAGTTGGCCCAGGACTCGCATGGTACCCAAGGTCCCTGTGAGCCCAGCTGAACCCAGGAACCCCTGTCATACCCTGGAGGGCGCACATGGGGGCAGGAAGGGCCAAAAGCTCTCGAAGCCCGTCCCATCCCAGCCCCTGTCAGCTGTGGAGCCTCCTCCCCCCGCCCCCACCCTGGCATTGAGGCCACGGTCAGCTGTGCAGCCCTCCCACCCTGGCCACTGGAATTAGTGGCCCGAACATGTGCCGGCCCTCTGTCTCTTTCAGGATGGACCCAGGCTTGTGTTCTGGTTGACTTTACACATGGAGTCACCATGTGCTGAAAACTCTGCAAAAGTCTGGTCGTGGCTGTCTGTGTTAAGGAGGATTCTGAAGCTCAGCTCAGGCTCAGAGAGGACAGCGAGGTGGCCGTTAGCAGTGGCTGCTCTGCACAAAGGAAGCGTCAGGGGGAGGGGCGCACCCCAATATTCACCCACCTGCGCGGGGCCAGTTAGGGCAGGTAGCAGCCCAGCAGGCAGGTGCACCCCACTGCTGGAGAGTGTTCCCCAAAACGGGGATGGCAGGGCCTTGGGAGAGAACGCAGGGCACTTGGGGCCTGGCAAGTTCCTGCAGCCCTCCCTCCCCTCCAGGTGGGCCCTTCCCTGTGGAGCCCCCCCACCCACAGAAGAAGGACTGGAGGGATGGGGTGGGAGGCAGGAACCGGAGCTGGAGGCTGGAGTCAGGTTAGCACCTTGCTCTCTGAATTCCTCCTCCGCCCATGGGTGTCCCCAGTCACACCTTTGGGACTGAAGCTCCTGCACGGACGGACTAGGTGGTTAACCAACGTGCACGGGTGAGGGGGCATCTGCTTCAGCCCTGAAGAGGTCGGGATGGGTTCTTGAGGTTGAAACGAAAGCCGCCCACAGTTTGACCACAAACTCCCGGAGGTTTCGGGGTCCTCCTTGCCCGTCACGGGACACAGCCAAGTGCCTGTGGGGCCTCCGAGAGGTTTGCCTTTCAACCAATAGTTCAATCAGTGTCAGACATAAAGTGGAGTACTTGGGAAGAAGAGGGTTTTTCTAATGGAAATAAATTGGTGTTTTCATGAGCGTTTCCCGTGGTGAGTGTGCGGGCCTGTGGGCTTTAGATTCTACAACTACTGAGGAGTTACAAGAGCTTCCCCGGCCTCGCCACAGCCCTCTGGCCTCACAGTTTACGGTGAGGAGGCGGCAGCCAGGGGCCCACTTGGGCCTCACCCACCCCTGCCACCCGATGAGGCTTTGGGCACAGGGTCCTGTTGACAGGCAGACAGACTTGGGCAAGGCAGACGGAGCGAGGTGAGGCCAGGGGAGGAGGGCTGGGACAGGGCCCATCCTGGTGCCCAGGCTCGCGGCAGAACTGCCGCCCTTCTCAGAGTCTGAGGGAAAACGCGGGAAGGGGGCGTCTCCCACCCACCTCTGCTCCCTGGAACTTGGGCCAAGGCCCTTGGGTGTGAGGGAGACCTGCCAACCCATGTGGAGGCCTGCGGCCTGAGAAGTCCAGCAGATTCCGGCATCCCTTTGGGAGTTGCCAGCTTTGCAGGGGAGCCCCAGCTCTGCCCCTCTCCAGCCGTGCAACCCCAGACAGGCTTTCA